AATGAAATTAGAAAATTTGTAAATTCAAGATATGTTTTTCCTCCAGAAGAAATATGGAGATTATTTAATTTTGGTTTACAAAAAAGGTCCTATACTGTTGAAAGGCTACCTATTTACTTGGAAGGCCAACAAAATATTTATTTTAGAAAAGGCCAAAATATATCATCAATGTTAGAAAAAGAACAACATACAAAGTTAACAAGATATTTTGAATTTTGTAAAAATAATCCTGCTAATCCTAATATTCAAAAGTTAAAATATATAGATATTCCAAAACATTATATTTGGAAAGAAAATAATTTGAAAAAAAGAAAAAGAGGTGGTAAAAAAGTAATTTCTCGAATGTATTTTGTAAACCCAAAAAATGCAGAGAGATTTTACTTAAGAGCTATATTAAATAGAAGAGAAGGTGTTACAGGATTTGATAATACTATAACTGTTGGTATTTATAAATATGATAGTTATAAAGAAGCAGCAGCCCAATATGGATTAGTAGATGATGATAAAGAATGTGATGCTTGCCTAACAGAAGCAGTTTATTTCAAATTGCCCTACCGATTAAGACAATTATTTGCCTCTATAATGGTATACTGTCTACTAGAAAATTTAAAAGCACTTTGGGATAAATATGTTAGTTCTCTAATTGAATATTATCTTAGAAAAAGGTTTAGTAGAGAACAAGCTATTGCAAAAAACATTAGTATTTATTAAAAATTATTTAATTCAAAATAGATTAGATCTTTCTGATTTTCTAGTACTTCCACCTTTAAATTATTCTTTAATTGAAGAAGGTTAAGAACATATATTAATTTTTGATAAACAAAATTATAACCAAAATGAAATTAATGAAACATTAAGAAATCTTAATAATTTAAATATTGATCAAGAAACAATATTTAAAACAATTATTAAAGCAATTAAAGGAGAAATTGATCAAAAATTATTTTTTGTTGATGGACCTGAAGGAACTAGAAAAACATATTTATATAATATGATCTTGGCTTATGTAAGATCATTAAGTGGTTTAAATAGAATTGCAATTGCAGTAGGATTTTTAGAAATTGCTGCATTATTAATGAGTAGTAGAAGAACTGCTTATTCAAGATTTAAAATTCCATTAAAGTTAACTAAAAATACTATTTTAGATATTAAAAAACAATCTGAATTAGCAGATTTGATTAGAAAGACTAAAGTAATTTTATGGGATGAAGCACCAATGATAAATAAATTTGCATTTGAAGCTGTTGACAGAACATTTAGAGATTTAATAGATAGTACTGAACTTTTTGGAGGCAAAGTTATAGTTCTTGGTAGTGATTTTAGGCAAATATTGCCTGTAGTAATTAGAGGTAATCAAACACAAATTGTTAAAGCATATTTGAAATCTTCTGATCTTTGGAAATATTTTCAAACAATGAAATTAACAATTAATATAAGAGTTCAACAAGAAGATAATGATAACCAAAAAAATTTTGCTGACTTCCTATTAAAAATTGATGAAGGAAAAGTTTCTGTAGATTTTAATCTTGGTGGAAATTTTATAAGATTGCCTGATGAAATAATTCTTGATAGTAAAAATCTTGAACATTTAGTACCTTATGTTTTTGATAAGATTGAAACAAATTATCAAGATTCTGATTATATCAAACAAAGAGCAATCTTATCAACAAGAAATAATGATGTTGATGCTATTAATGAGCACATCCTTATTAATACTATTCCTAGAGGTAACAAAAATATATTTAACTATTATTTTGCTGATTCTGTTGAAAATCAAGAGGAAGTTGATAAAAGCCTTTATTCTCTTGAATTTTAAAATATATTAACACCAAGTGGAATACCACCATATCAACTAAGATTTAAAAAGAATGTACTAGTTATTCTTTTATATAATCTTAATTTAGCTGAAGGATTATGTAATGGTACAAGATTACTTATTAAAGAATATCACCAATATCTTATAGATGCTGAAATATTAACAGGAGTCAACCAAGATAAAAGAATATTTATACTTTGAATAAAATTATCACTATCAGATGTAGACCTTCCATTTAAATTAGTAAAAAGACAGTTTCCTATTAGATTATCTTATGCAATAACAATTAACAAAGCACAAGACCAAACAATTCCTATAATAGGATTATATTTGCCCAAGCCAGTTTTTGTATATGGGCAATTATATGTTGCTTTGTCAAGAGTTCAATTAGAAAAAAATATTATAGTATTGGTTAAAGGTAGGCAATATAAAGATAAAGAGAGTATATATGTTGTGCATTGGTGATTGATTCCTATTAATTCAGGATCAATATGTGTTATTTTTGATTTTTTACCGATCAACAAATGATCCATATCAATTAGTAATTCATAGTTATCAGACTTAATAATGATATTATAGTATGATAATAAAGTTTAATAAATTAATTAATTACGTATTATATTGATAAAGAAGTACATACGTATCATATAATAAAGTAAAAAAATAAAAATAAAGTCTACATTTTAGATATCTTTAGAATTTATTTTTTTTTCATTAGCAATCATGGAAATACAAACTATTACTTTTCTTACCCATGAGTCCTTTGACCGTATTTTAAAAATATATACTGATCAATAAAAAAATAACAGATGTTTAATAGATATGAATCGTTATAATGAATGTTTAAGCATACTAAGAAATCCCAACCTTTCTCATAATCCAAAACTTAAATATTGGGTTACCCATACTTTTAAGATTCTTCGCTTCAATACAATAGAGGAGCTTTATTTACTTAAAAGCGATGAAAATAATTTGGGGACACAGGTTTGCCCTGTAGAAAGTTTTTATAAAATTATTTGTTCTGCGTATCAGGAAATTAAGCATGGGGAACAGGAGAAGATCTGAAAAAAGTGAATTGATATTACTGATTGCAGATTTGTTTCTAATCAAACATTAATTAAACAAATAATTTCTATTTTAGATATGGATTAGATATTGTTACATCTCGCAGCAAATTGTTGAGAATGCAGTACGTGAATGTCAAGTATGTATTACAAGATGATCTATCAAAAAAATTCCACCTATTCGCCCAATAGTATCTGAAGCTTTTTTGAACCATGTTCAAGTAAGTTTTAAAATTTTAATATCGGTATTTATTTATTTATTTAAAATTTCAAATTTTAATGGTATTATATTATAGATTGATACAATTGACATAACAGCAGTGCCTGATGAGCCTTACAAATATATTATTCATATAAGAGATCACTTCTCAAGATTTTCTTATGCTAAGCCTACACCATCCAAGTCAGCTAAGAATGCTGCTATGGTTTTATTTAATTTCTGCTTGATATATGGTCCTCCAGCAGTTCTTCATTCTGATAATAGTGGTGAATTTATTGAAAAAACCATCAAAAAAGCATTAAATCTTTGGCCATTAATTAAAACTGTTCATGGTCGGTCTAAAACCTACAGTGCCAGGGTTTTGTTGAAAAAGGAAATGATATTCTTGAAAATAAGCTAGGAGTGTGGATGGAAGAGACACATAGAAGTGACTGGAGTGTTGGTCTAAAGTTTGTAGTCTATAAGTATTTATGTATAATTAAATTAAATTGGTTAATTTGGTTTTTATATATTTTAATATTTATTATTGTATTTAATTTATTTAAGAGGTTATGAATAATCAATACTGCAGGGCCCATAAAACTACACCATATAATATTGTATTTGGATAGCTCCCTCATAGTGATACAAACATATCTGCAATTTTAAACAATAATGATTATGATGGAGAAAATGATAATTGTCAAGATTCACATGAAGAAAATGATGATCATCAAAATTCACTTGAAGAAAATGATAATTGTCAAGATTTACTTGAAGAAAATAATGATCTTCAAAAATCACTTGAAGAAAATAATGATCATCAAAATTCATTTGAAGAAAATAATCAAGATTCATTTGAAGAAAATGATGATTGTCAAAATACATTTGAAGAAAATAATCAAAATTCATTCAAAAAAAAGAATAAACGTCAAAGTTTATTTGCAGAAAATAATAATTATCAGTATTTATCTAAAGAGAATGATAATTATTTTGAAAATAATAATTATTCAAATTTATTTGAAGGTCATAATTTTTAGAAAATAATTAATATTGCAATTACATTTGTAAGTTCTTAGATGATAAACTAACTTCAAATTATTTTTTAGCTAATGATTATTTTTCTAATGAAGAAATCTCTAAACCAGAGTATTCAAAATTTACGAATAAAATTAAGCTCAATAATACAAAGTCTGAAGTTATTGTAATTAGTGATTTTGAATCAGATATTACTACCCATAAAAATGAAAAACAGCAAGTGTATGAATATTCTATCGAATTACAAGAAAATAAAGTACTGTATTTATTATATTACATTAAAAATTCTTTTTAATATGTAAATTTAATTTTTAATTTTAATTTTTTTTAAAGCAGTGATCACTATTACATGTTATTACAAATTCAGCTCGACCTTCTTTTGAAAAGCATGAAAAAATTCGACAAGTAGCAATTCTAAACGTTAAGAAAAATCGAGAGCTTATCAGAAGCACTATGGAAATAAAGCACAAAACTAAAAGAAATTGTGTATTTGAAATTGGTGAATTTGTAAAAATCCGTATTTCTAATATTGATAAAGTGAAGATGGATTGAAAATCATTACCCTGTAAGATTATTCAAAAGAAACCGAATCAAGATTCTTACTAGGTTGCCTGCCAATTCGGGATTCATAAAAACTGGTATCTTGCCAGTGAATTTCTGCCATTAGGCACACCTGATTACTTTGATCTTGATATCGTTCAACTTAATAATAAAATCTCATTGCAGCAAGCAGGTATCAAGCAAAACATGTGTCCAGTATAATCTTCAAGGCAAAGATTTGACTCAAATAATTCTAACATTATAGGGTAATTTTGTTTATCATTATTATTTGTTTACCTTTTTTTTATTTCCTACTAATTGAACCTTTATTTTTAGTGATTATTTAATGCATTTAACATCTAATACTAAAAAAACTCGTGACTGTTGCTATAGCAAAAAAACAAATTGCAATACCAAGACTTGCACTTGTAAAAAAAACAATATGTTATGTTCAAGATGGTGTGGGTGTGTTTTGCATGACCAATGCAGCAATCGATAAATAATTTCTTTTCAATAAGAAGATATATTGGCTTTTTTTTATTATATATATATATTTACTGTTTAAAGTTAGCAGCTAGTATGATCATTCATGTTTGTAAAAAGAAAGCATTTAGCAATTTATACGTATTGCATTTA